GTGCGCGCGTGTGCGCGCACGCGCGCGCGCGCGCACGTGCGTGCGCACGTGCGTGCGCACGTGCGTGCGCTTGCACAAATGTGTGGTCAGAGGACAGCATGAGGGATCTGTTCTCTCCTTCTACCTTTTGGGGCCTGGGGAATCAAACTCAGATTGTTAGGCTTGCCAGCAAGTGCTTTTACGTACCGAGTCATCTAGCCGTCCATTTTCTGGCATTTTTCTAAAATGCCATAGAGCCACCAGAGTTTTAGAAAGTATTTGACTTTGTTTTGCTCTTGAGAGGGGACATCGATGTGTAGCCCTGGTTGGTCTAGAAATCACTAAGTAGACCAGGTATGCCTTGACTTTGAGCTGTCCTCCTACCCCAGCCTCCCAAGTCCCGGGACTGCAGGTACCAGCCACCATGACAGGCTTAAAGTTACAGTTCTGAAATCAGATCAAAATCTTTTCTCCAGCCAGGCCTGGTGGCGCACGCCTTTAATCCCAGCATGTGGGAGGCAGATGCAGGCAGATCTCTGTGAGTTCGAGGCCAGCCTGGGCTACAGAGTGAGTTCCAGGACAGGCTCCAAAGCTACACAGAGAAACCCTGTCTTGAAAAACCAACTCCCCCCCACCAAAAAAAAAAAAAAAAAACCCAAAAAACAAAACAAAACAAACATTGGCTGTGTGCTTGTTGTAGTGATCTGAAATTAAGTCTGATTTTCCTTTCTTTTAAGTAACCATATTCTTTACAATATCTGTGATATAACTGCATTACTTCAGTATACAGAGGAGAAAATCACCCCAAATCCCATGCAAGTTCTGTGTTAGGGTTGTTATGTTTGGAGAAGATGCTTGCCCTGAAACTGTTGGCGGCCTTCTTGGGGGCTCTAGGGCAGTCCTGCGTTTTCCTACAGGCCTTACTTAGGACAGCAGTCTGGCCCAACTTCTGTCAGGCCGTTCTAGTCCCCTGTGCTTCCTGGGAAACCATGGGGATTTCAGTCTGGAGAGGCCCCACAGCTGGCACAATACCTTCAGGAAAAGAAAAGCCTGGTAAGCAAGCCCAAGACCTCCTGCAGGGATGTGGTTCTGATGCTTCAGGGGAAAAGGACCTCCCACCCCCTGGGGAAACTCCTCCCTCCTCTGCCCGCAGCTGCAGAGGGCAGTCCCTCCCACCCCCACTGGCAGAGCCGGGCGGGGCTTCCCTTCAGCCCATCTGGGGTTAGTCCGAACCAGTGTCCTCAAGGACACTGGGGGTCATCAGTGTGGCTGGGAAGCAGCACTATTTCCTCTGTGACACGACCTTCCAAGTTAGGCCAAAGCTTTCCATGTGTGCCTCCTATCAACCACAGAACACGGCCAGCCAGGTCAGTGGGAGAGAGGATTGGACACACGTTGGCTAGGCTGAGCCCCAAAGATCTCTGGCTTGTAGAAGTTTCTGATCTAACAGAATAGTTTATGATTTTTTTTTTTTCAATCTGCCCCCTGGACTGGAGAGAATTGGTTTTGCTGCAAAAACTTGAGTCTGGGACCTGGAGAGATGGCTCAGTGGTTAAGAGCACTGGCTGCTGCTCTTGCAGAGGCTCTGAGTTCAGTTCCCAGCAACCCTATGGTGGCTCACAACCATCTAGAGTGGGATCTCATGCTGTCTTCAGGCATAAAGTTGTACATGCAGATAGACAATCATATACATAAAATAAATAAGTAAATCAGAAAAAATAAAACAAACAAACAACAAAAAACTTGAGTCTGAATCTCCAGGCCCCCTGTACAAAGCTGAGCATGAGCCTGTCCCCCCAGCGCTGTGGGGGCAGAGGCAGGAGGATTGCCGGGGTTGCTGACTGCAGCTCCAGCTCCAGGTTCAGTAAGAGAACCTATTTCTCAAAGGACTAAGACAAAGGATGATAAAGCAGGGCACCCAGCATGAGCTCTGGCCACGTGCACGTCACACACACCCCACCCCACATTTGTGCAGTTTCTAGAAAAGTCTGCCCTCTCTTCAGAAATACCTGTGGATATTTGTATTCCTGGGCGAAAGTTAGTTCAAATTTAAATGCGATGTAAACCACATTGCTTCCTCAACATCACAAGTTGGGTCTGGAATGTTCTCTGAAGGGAGGGAGTGAGAACGTTGTTGCATAAAGACTGTGTTAGTGGAATAATACCTACTGCTGAATGTTGGATTTGGCAGGAGTGTCCAAATATAAGTATATACATATTTTCAATTTGCCTCAAGTCTTTATGCATTTTAAATCTACCAAAAATGAGCCCAACCAGAACATAAAATATGTGAGGTTTTTTTTTTTTTTAAATTAAAACTTGGACAAGAAAACCCAGGAATTTTTGTTGTTGCTGTTGCCTATAATTTAATTCTTAATGTATCAGACGTAATCCAAATGTAACAGATTTTTTTTTTCTTTTGGATTCTGGCAAGTATGTTAACAGGAGGCAATTATGTGAAATAATATAAAATCCTTTTATTAAAAAAAAAAACAGAGAAGCCTTCGCTTAAGCGGAAATTTAATATTACTTCTCCAGTGGCGTCCATGTCATGAACTCATTTGATTAACTCTTCAAATGGTTCACAGTGCTTTGGGTGGTAATTTACGAGCTCCTAATTGATTTTCCCAATCTTGGTTGGGCAAAGGTGGGCCTCCCTGAGATGTGAGGGGGCCTGAGGCCCACACTTTGCTTCCCTCTCAGACAAAAGAACCAGCCGGGATGGACATTACCCAACGACGGAGGGGACTCGACTGTCAAGGGAGATGAGGTCCATGATGCTGGTGACGCCTGACCCGGCCAGTTGTGGCTCCCGACCCCCCAAAGAGCTGGGCCTTTGCCTGCTCTTGAGACGTGTGAGAATGCTGCAGGCAGTTTCCCAGCGTGACAGACTTTCAAGAAGCATTTCCCACAGAGTGTCACCTCAGAAGGAGCCTGTCCAGAGAAGGGTAAAGGAGGGTTCATACTGGAGGGGGGGGAGAGGAGAGGGGCGGGGCCTGTGGCTCCCACTGCGAGCCCTCTCTACTTCCTGTCTGGACCACTGTTCCTCCCTAGATCTGCCTTTCAAATGCCACACTGGGAAGCCTAGGGACCTCGGCAAGGCTCAGGGCCAAGGCTGTTCTCATAAAACCACCACGGAAGTCCTCAGAGAAATCCCAGAACTGGCCAGACTCCGAGGAGTGAGCACGCGGGTGGCCTCACTCTTTGTATTCCCGGAGAATGTCTGTTCTTGAAACCTAGATGGGGCATGAGTGCACCCCATTAAGACCTGAAGGAAAACGAGAATCAGTGAGACTAGGAAAAATGACATCAGCTAGGCGTGGTGGCTCGCGCCTTTAATCCCAGCAATCGGGAGGCAGAGGCAGGCGGATCTACCCGGTCTGCAGAGCGAGTTCCAAACAGCCAAGCGCTACCCAGAGAAATCCTGTCTCACAACTGAAAGGCGAGAGGGGCACGGGCACGGGGGGAGGGATGGGGGGGGAATGTTGGAGGAAAAAGGAAAGAAAATGTAAGAAAAATGACACCAAGCTAGTAAGTGGGGGGCTCCGCTCAGCAGTCTTACATCCTAACTACATCTACAACAGCAGAGTTTACCACATTCCTAGTCAGAGTACCCGCTCATGTGGATGAGCCTGTGCGGCTTGATTTTTTTTTCTCCAGACAGGGTTTCTCTGTGCAGCCTTGGCTGTCCTGGAACTCACTCTGTAGACCAGGCTGGCCCCGAACTCACAGAGATCAGCCTGCCTCTGCCTCCCGAGTACTGGGATTAAAGTCGTGCGCCACCACTGCCTGGCAATTTTTTTTTAAATATGTCTGTGTGCATGTGTGTGGGCACACGTACGTGTTCAGGTACAGGTACGTGTGCCTCTGTGTGGCAGCCCAAAGTCAACACTGGATGTCTTTGATCACTCTCCATTTTATTTTCTGAGTCAGGGTCTCTTGCTGTACTCAGAGTTCGTGGATCCCAGCTGGTCTAGCTAGCCAGCCTGACCTAGGGATCTCCTGTCCCCTAGTGCAGGGATTACAGGGAGCTGGGATCTGAACTCTCAGCTTTCTGTTTGTGCAGAAAGAACTTTAGCCACTGAATCCTCTCCCTCCTGATGTTGGGAAGAATTGTACCACTTGCATGTTCTCTCGGGCCTGGGAGTTTTATACACCGAGTGCCCAGCTTCCTCGTGTGTAAATGGGGATAATATAATGGCCAGGGAATTAAATGAGATCATCTTAGCCCCGCCACATCAGCTTGAGGAATACCCCACGGAGCAGAGACGTGGATGAAGAAGGGAGGTGAATGATGTTCTAAACCAAGGGAAGAGAGAGTAAGTCTCGTGCCCAGGGCAGAAGGTGATGGTGGAGCAGTCACAGAAGAAAATACAGGCACAACTCGCCTCGGCACCCTCCTTTGGGTGGTGGATTCATTAGATCCTGTGTGAAGTACAGTTCTGAGACAGGTCATTTCTCCTGGACTTGCCAGGCTGCCAAGAACCTACACCACCTCTTTACCGTGGAAAGGGAAGACACAGACCCACCCAGGGTCACCAGACCAGAAGTCAAACATCACCTGCTCTGCAGCCGGGTTGAGGACAAATGCAGTTGCATCCCTTCGCGCAGGCCCTGGTGCTGCTCTTCCCAGGCCCACGAATCCCTGAGTAGCATCCAGAACAGAGCAGCCAAGCGAGAGGCCCCTGTTGCTGTCTAAACATCTGTGGCACCAGGACCAGCTAGGTATGCCTTCAGGCTCTGAGCTACATTGGGCTCCAGTCTCCACCACTGCCCAAGCTGTGTGACCGAGGGCAAACCACGTAACTCACTGTGCCTCGGTTCCCTCATCTGAAGAGGGGCACAACGTGGACCAGAGGAAATGTGTTAGTACTTAAAAGGAAAGCTCTCAAAACCGTTGTGGGGACCAGGTACATGCCTATAACCCCAGTACTAGGGAGGTGGAGACAAGATGATCGCCATGTGTTCAGTGAGTTCCCGGCCAGCCTGGGCTCCGGTGGGAGAGACATTGTCTCTCAAACCCCAAACCAAAACCAGACCAGAGCAACCAAAGGGTACTGGGGACATGGACACCCCTCAGAGAGCTCTGTGGCTGGTGACCAGCCTTGAGCCTGCGCACACCACGCTACTTTTTTTATCTGTCGTGGGATAGACAGTGGTCATAGGAAGTCTGCCCTCACCCAGGCCCCAATGCTCCTCCAGCTCCACTGTTACCCCAGGGCTGAGACATCCTCAGCCATGGCGTCTGGCTCATTGATGATGAGAGACTACTGCCTCTCCTCTCTCCTTAGCCTAGATCTGCCTTTGCCCTTGAGGTGGCCTGGCCTTCCCTAATTCTCCTCTGAGTTCCTCCCACTTCCCACCTCCATGCCCAGGGCGCTCCCTCAGAAGCCCCTCAAGTCTCGCTGCTGGTAAGTAGATGTCAGAGTCCTCCAACTAAGATGGGATCCGTCCAATGAGAACAAGCAGGGGCCACGGGGAAATTGTCAAAGCAGCAGAAAGAACATGGCGTATGCGGGTTCCCCCAGGGGCTGACGACCTCCTCACATACGACCCTCATGTCCCCTTCTTGGAGTATTTTCGGCTTCTTAACAGTCAGTGCCTGGTAGTCCCAACAGCTCTTGACCCACCAGTGACGACTGGGGCCACAGGACAAGGGCACTGGGATCTGAGACGCGGGAGATCCCCTTCCATCCTACCTCACACGCACACTGTGTAAGCTGAGTGGCTCTAGCTCTCCATCCTCCAGCCCCCCATCTCTATTGGGGTGTTTCCACCCCAGCCCTGTGTTCCCCTCAAGAGTGGGAAATCTGTAAGGAGTATCTTATTTTGAGGATGGCTTACGCTCACCAGGACACGGGAGACTTGAGTGCTGGTTCATAATTTGTTCTGCCCTACAACGTGAGCTGAGGGAATCTGGTACCTCTGTTTCTCTTGCTCCCTGACTCTAACCAGCTGGATGGATGCAGGTGGAACCTTGATACAACATGAAATAGAATACAGAGCATCCAGTGTTTCAGAGAAGGGCCTAAGAACCATAAGCCACTCAGTTATCCCCTAGAAACAGTTGCAGAGCCAGAGATTCAGATTTAGAGGTAAGGAAAGAGAAAGCAATTCAGTGGTGTCTCCAGAGAATGCTGGGCTAGCGAGAAGCCTTTCATACGAAAAGGATGTTCTCCACAGCTCCAGAAATGTGGAAGTGAGGTTTCCAATCTCCACAGCCATTTTCTCAAAGGACATTTGGTTAAACCCCAGAGGCAACAGCCTTCCCATTCAAGGACCTTACCTGAGTGCCCTGGGTGCCTGGCTGGGTTAAGAGGTACCGGTCCGTATGTGTGCAGCAGCCTTACATGAAACCTCCAGACTGGCTCAGAGGGTCTATTTTTAGGGTCAGATCTGCTGACACTGACCTTGCAAGCTCTCCAGTCTGAGAGGAGACCTGTGGCATTTGTTTGCAAAACGATTCACCAGTGTGACCCGAAACCCCTGACTTAAGCAGTCCCATACCTGGAGGCCCACATGTTTGTCTCTGGCCCAGCCACGGATACAGGACATGTGGCCGCCAGGGTGGCGACAGATGGGGAATCCCCCAGCTTTGTTTTCTTAGGCTGGATAAAGCCAGGTGTCTGTGGGCCCTGCCATGGGCTCTGTCTCAGAATGGCTGGGATCGGGGAGGTTTACTTGTTGGCACCGAGTCCGTAGGAGGCCTCAGGGTCCATAGCATGAAGAACTCTCCTTCAGTCTTCTCTGAGCCTTTGGAGAGCTATCTCTTGGGGGAATGGATGGGATGGATACCACATCATGAAGAGTGATCCACGAAACCCTGAGAAACAGCCCTGGTGGGCAAACACTGTTGTACTGTTTTCTGCAAAACTCCCACCAAGTCCCCAACCTTTCTCGGCTTCAGTGAGGACAGTGTCACAAGCCTACCCTCTTATATAATTATGAGCATCAAAGGAGAGAAAGTATAGAGAGCACTTAGCAAGCACCTGGCACGTGATGACACATAGAACATTCTAGATGCTGTTGGTGTTCTATCTCTCTTTTCTCACCCTCCTGCTTCTATTGGTCCAGCCTCATTTTGTTTCGGTTTTCCTCCACCCTCATCAAGACTCACCACGATAGCCCTCCTCTTTAATGTCAAGGGGAAGAGTCCCATGCAGTACCCTTTAATCTCCTAGTAGAATTAGGGCTTGCTACAGCTTCTCATGAATGATGTGGTTTTTCTTTTTTCTTTTTTTTTTTTTTTGTTTTTTTGGTTTTTTTTTGTTTTGTTTTGTTTTGTTTTTCGAGACAAGAGTTTCTCTGTGTAGCTTTGTGCCTTTCCTGGAACTCACTCTGTAGACCAGGCTGGCCTCGAACTCACAGAGATCCACCTGGCTCTGCCTCCCGAGTGCTGGGTTTAAAGGTGTGTGCCACCACCGCCCGGCTACGATGTGGTTTTTCTATTCTTGCCCATCCTTGTCACTCATCTTGGGTATGCGGGAAGATGGGGAGAAGGCCACCAGTCTCCTCTATCCTTCCGTCAATGAGGTCCTTGCACTGTCTCAGGCAGCTTTGTTCAATAAATCTTCCTTACACCTAGCAGGGTTACCATGGCTGCTGTAATTTACCGTGATTGTTAACGCTAGTCCGATCCATTGCGAAGCTGCCCAGTAATGCAGCTTTTATTGGGTCGCAAAGGAAACTAGAGAAATGATTCTCACCTCCACTAGACAGACTGTGAATGATGAGCTAGAGAAATGATTCTCACCTCCACTAGATAGACCCTAAGTGATGAGCTAGAAAAATGGTGGGCCTCTCCTCTCCTCGTCCTTCATACATTAAACTATGCTCTGTGCCAGGCATAATGGTTCACACCTTTAATTCCAGCACTTGAGAGGCAGAGGATCTCTGTGAGTTCAAAGCCAGCCTGGTCTACATAGTGAGACTAAGTAAGGACAGCCAG